GATGATCTGAACACTATGAGTTATTTACTTTTTGTAGGGCAGCAACGATGAATTAGACTTCCAGTCACAAAGACAGGTACACATTCATAAGTTTCTGAACAACCTTCTTGTATATTACAAGATGCAAGTTGTCCACTGTGATCTCGCAATGGTGAACCTCCATTCGGGCAACCTAAAAAATCGTTAATCTTTTAAAATTATAATATCCCATGTATTAACGTTTTGTGCTATCAAAATTTTTTCATTTACACTGCTCCATTACTTATTTCTGATACTTTAAAATACCTCCAACACCGCAATATTGCTCGCAAGCATCCCTAGTTGGAAAGTTATTAGAGTTTCCATCGCAACCATTAAACTGGAAGCTTTCACAGGTTTGAGTCTGCACATTATAGAAATACTTAAATGACGATCCGGCACCGCATTGAACTCCGCTATCGGCACTCTGTGAACACGTAAACGCTGAAAACTTATTTCAGTAGCTCAAGTCCATCAATCTAAAAATACTTATCGCTTTTTTGATTAAGATTTAAAACAGTGCTTTTGCCAGCATTAAGAATAAAGCATCCAATAGATCAAGCAGGTCTAGAAGTTTCAATACAATTAATAAGCATATTTTCATCACCCAAAATCCACCTTTTGTTGGACAACAACCCCATAAATTTCCATCGTAATAACACTCATAATTTTGTGGGCAGCTTTTTGGAGAGTGGCCACATTGGACGAAATTACCACTCGTATCTCGATAAGCCTGACCTTGAGCGCATCTAGGCTCAGCTAAAAACTAAGTCTAAACAATGTAGCAAGTGACAACAAAATTATATCAGTGAGCTAACGGTGACTACAAAACCAACTATTCAAGCTAGTCTAAAACACTTACGAATGGCATTCTTGCAAAAACTTTGACAATCCAAAACGGTTTCAAAATTGTTGTCGTTTCCTTGACATCCAGAAAACTCAAACATTTGACACTGTCGAGTTTTAGCATTGTACCAATACCTTTTTACGTTTTCTGTACAGTCACCGATTCGTAAAGGCTGTGAGCAAATAGTTTCTAAAATTGGTATTCAAGAGCTGCTCATTTATTAAACTGCTATTTTTACTATCTCTTTTCTTTTAAAATAAGGAATGAACATGAAAATTATGTCAAGTGAAGCTTACTGACGTTTTCTTGGACAGCAAACGCCTTGATCTGTCTTACATTCGTGAGTCGATGGGCAACCAGCATTGTTTTGACATCGTTGTGCGTCCTCTCCAATTTTCAGCGGCGTTCCACGATCGCATTGCACTAAAATCTTCCAAAAATGTCTCTTCATTCAGATGAATTTAAGGTTTTTTTTGGAAAACACTTCGGTGGGCGAACCGAACCAAACTAACATCGAGAGCAAAACAGTTCACATTCATGCCGCGAAAGAAAGTTGTTGAAATTTCCACCAGCTCCCTTATAAGTGAAATCTGTGCATTTTCCAACGGTTGGATCATAATAGAACCTTAAATGAAAATCCTATACAGCCACCGTATTGCTTTTTATCTCTAAACTCGTTCACTAAATTTAGGAATACCACGACGTTAAAAGCCACTATAAAAAGTTAGAGGCAAAATTAAGACATGAACTTGATATATCATACTACACCTGGTTGACTCTTTGCCTGTTAATGTTTGAAATCCCGCATGATATATTTCGGATCGCGGATGCAAATCAAATGGTCGTCCGCCAAGTGCGCTGCATACCACACCTAAAAGAATTTCTTTTTTCTAGAAAATGATTGCTAGTTTTACAGAAGCAGTGTTTGGAATTAAACAACGAACTGGGTGTTGGGCAACATAAGTTTTGGCTGCCAATATTTGTACACTGGTATTCGTTTGCACATCCCGATGATGTTGAACAGCCTGTTAAAGGTCGTTCTGAGTTAATTTTACTTGCCAGAGTATATTGAGGACTTCCGCGAGTACATGCTGAAATCCAGGAAGTATTTCTTATGTGGTAAATACAATGTTTTTCGTGCAGTAAAAGGCTTATCATATTTGAATTAGCACTAAAAATGCGTAAATTTTAGCTCCGTATATTAATTTGCTTATATCCGACAATCTCGCTCGAGCCTTTGTAATTTGAACTCACTGTCTCTGCAGTAAGATTCGCAGTGTCCAATTGTTTGGAAGTTATTAGCACTATGATAAGCAGAGAGCGAAGCCGTTGGATCCCACAAAAACTGTTGGCATGTACCGGTTACTGAATTGTACCACCAACGTGGCTCTGTTGGATTTGGCCCTGTGATCTGTGGTTGGATGCATGTAAATGCTAAAACACTTTACTATAAACAGATAAAATAAAACCCTGGATTTTATCTTCTCATCATTAAAACTAGAAAAGCTCTTTAACGTAAAGGTCTGTTATTTTTAAACTCATTCTAAAAAGTAACGACATTTATTTAGAGCAGAAATTAATTTAGACCTCTGTTTGGACAGCAGACACCATCTGCGGTTGGCGCATAATGGGAGTCTGGAAATTTTTCTGCCAAAGTAACCTGTAAGTTGAACATTTAATGAGACTAACGGAAATTTTGCTGCTACTTTGTGAAGTCAAAGAAGAATGGTTACAACTAAATGAAAAACCGGGACAAAATAATTGGAAAACAGTTCTTTTACTGCCTCTTTAGCTTTATTTGTACGTTTTGAAAGAGTTAAAGGATAAAGCATACGTGTGGTGATGTTGCAATACAGTCATAGATGTCACCGATAAATTCACCAGTTGATGGCCATATACAAGCTCCACCACCCTGTCGCCCAATAATACTTTCAGCGGTTGCAGATGATCCAGTAGTACAACTCACTGGATAAGTGCCTGATTCTGGATCACTAAGTGCCAATTTGAAACCTGCTCCTTCCGGTAATGGGCATACAAAATAGAATGGTGGGGTGGAACCGGTGCTATAGTCTCGCAAGGACACGCAAATCCATCCATCACGAGTTTCACGGGCTACATGAGTATCTAAAGCAAAAGAATACGATAACTTATGAAATTAAACATTCTTCGCCTTGCAGATCTGAGAAATTTTTTGATCACTATACCTTGGCACCTACATGTCCCAACTCCAGTTTCTAAAAGACATCGTGCTCCTGGCCAAACGGCAGAACACTGAATATCGTATGTACAGCCAGGCTGATTTGGGTTTACTTCTAAACAGTAATCCACATTTAAAACTTCAACACATTTTTCATGCTGGCTTCTGTCAAACTTTTTTGTTCACAAAAAATGGCAAGAAAATAAAAAACAAGATGCACCAAGAAAACCTATTAAAACTACTTTAGTGATCTTTTGTATGGCAAAATCTGCTTACTTTCGTAACAGTATCCTTCTCGTAGAATGTAGGTGCTAAGACATGCACATAAACCTCCGGAACAGTACATACCCTTAATAAAATAATTAATGCGCAGATGATTACTAAGTTTAGACAAATAGAAAATTTCTGAAGATAGTGATATAGAAACGCTGTAAATGAAAATGCATGAGACCGTTTTGTAGGGGACTTTGTAGTTGATATGTGATGAAGTATTAATAAGAAAAAAATGAAAAGAAACTACTCTTTTTGCATTATAAATTCTGCAGTTAATAAATTATTACAAATATGCAACATCTTTTTGGAATCTGACCTTTTGTTGAATTCTTGATAGCACACTTCTACGACTGTTTAATTAGCAGAAATGACCAATATTGTCAGTCTTTAATGTTTTGTTGAACAAAAAATCTCAAAACTGCATTAACCTTTGGTTTGTTCATAGCTTCTAATCTTTCTTCAATTGTTATTCAGTTTCTGCAGCTTAAAAAGCTTGAGAATCAAAATGTGAATGAAAAAAACGCTTACACTTAGGCAGTCAGTGTTAAAGGCACAGACGTCGCCCACTCGACCACTTCCTAAAAAGACAAGTAGATACCTTGAATTTAAATTTAAAGCTTAATATTCATTTGTAAAAAGTTAAAGAAATCTTGAGAAATTTTTAGCCTAAACCGGAATGGAATACTAACCAGTAATAGCATTTTGTCTCTGTAGACGTTTCAGGGGGCTGACACAGCCATGTCCTTCCTCAAAATATGTCTTCGGTGTGCAACGAGCTAGTTCTAAGCGGCCAAATGAGTTGCACAATAAAAACGATGTATAATTCATTTGTATTTCTCTTAAAAATAATCACACCACACTACTTCCAAGAAAAAATTTAAATATTTTTTACAAAATAATGTTGAAAAATTTAAGTCTGAGATCAACATAAATAATTTTTTGAACAAAGTATAAATAGCAATACGTAAAAGGAAAGAAAGAGAGATAAAAAAAAACTGTTGTAAAAGTGCTTAGGTAGTTACTTACTGCGTAAATGGATCACAGTATAGAATTGGAACATGTGTTTCTGTTGAACAACCATCACCTTCCGATTGTCGATGTGTACAGTATGCGCACGGTTCACCCACATGACACTTTGATGCTGATGCAGAATCGCTAAAGGCAAGCGGAAAAACGGGTTTTGCAGAAAAATTGTCTCGATACTGTAGCGAAAGATCAGTTTGTTGAGACTGTATAAATTGTATTTGAAGTAGAAGTACATATAAACTGAGTAACTTTAACTTTGGATGATCGAGGTAACATTGTACCAACATTGCTAACTGGTTAACCACTACAGTTCTGATAGAATGTTTAGTATTAAATTAGTTCAAGAAACACTGTTAGTTGAAAAGCCACTCCCAAATAGTTGCTACTATATTTATTATGTGATTTTAGTCGATTATCGACTCATCTATCCAATTATGGGCTTCAATGGTTATTTTTCAATTGTTTTCTTCATCGCCGACAACAGACGTCAAAAATGTGTCACAGAATTGCAGTTAATCGTTCTTTTTATAGCACAAAGCATCTAGAACAGTTGAAAAAAAAAAAAACAAAAAAGCAAAAAAAAAAAAATGATCATCAACTAATTCTAAATTAATTCATCAGACTTTTATGCTGACATTAAAATTAAAACGAAAAAGAAAACAAAAGAAAAAAAGCGGGGAAAAAAGCAAGAAAATGAACTATTTAATTAACTATTTAAATATTTACGTTAATAAGTTTTTTTAAAAAAAAACTGAAACCCTCTCGAAATTAGGTAGTCTTTTTTTGTGCTGTAAAGTTTGTTGTTTATTAACAAGATTATATTTGACGTCTATAATTTGTCATAATAAATGACCAGTAACAAGTTTAAAAGAATTACCTTTTTTTAATGATTACATTCATAATGGTATCAGACATTATAACTGTTCTGTTTGACGTGAATTTGTCGAACGAATCAACTAAAAAGCTTGCTTTTAGAATGTACACTAAACGACAACAAAAAAAGCTGTTAGTATTGTCTTAAGTTCTAAACTATTTATTGTCAAATTAAGAATAGCTATTTGAGAAGACAGTAAGAACTTGAAGCACTAAAAAGCAATAAACTGTTGGTGCTTTTTTTTTTTTCTTGATAAATTAAGTAAATGTTCAGTTTTATAATTGATCATATTTAGTGATCAAACATAACTGTTCATGTATTACCATATTATTGTATAAAGTAAATTAATATAACAGTCAAAATCAATTGACAGCTGTCTAATGTCTGAACAATTATAGAACTTTATCGATGCTGTTGTTTTTATCAGCCTAAAAGTATTGAATAACAAAAAAGAAACTTTAGATGTATAGTTAAAGCGAAGAACTGTTAATCAGTATCATCAAAAATTTTATAACAGTGTCATCGACAACATATTATAAATCTGTGTAAAAAAAAAAAA